CCGTCTACTCCGAAGCTCACGCTGTCCACTGAGCTGCAACCCTCCCCTCTGGAAGTTTGTAAACCACTAGGGGAAACAGGATAGAGATGTAAACAAGTGCAGCAAAGATGGGCAAACTCTCACCAGTGGGCCTGATCCAGTCCTTCRTGTATTTTTGTCCTTGAGCTAAGATGGTTTTTATCTTATTCCATGGTTGGGGGAGTGGGCAGGACAAAAGAATAATAGTTCTGTGTGATATGTAAAAATTACATAGAAGTTCAAATTTCAGTGTCTGTAAGTAAAGTTTTATTGGAACAAGTCTACGCCCATTCATTTACCACCAAGCCTGCCTTCTGTCTACAACAGCACAGTTCGATATTGACGACAGAAACCGCACAGCTYGGCAAGCCAGAAGGATTTCCTATTTCTGGCCCTTTACAGAAAAGGGTTKTCGACCCCTGATCTATTCTCCAAGGTGGAATGTTCTATCTCAATAGTTTTCAAAGTGCTTTTGGGAATTGAGAACAGGGAAAACTCATATTTATTTGGCCCCCATATGGGGATCCAGAGCCGATACACAGGTGTGCTCTAAGATTCAATGCCTGTTAAAACCCAGATTTTAAAACAGATCAATTAAAAGGCAGTTATTTGCATAACAAATTTCCCTTTCCATTTGATAAGGGGATTCACCACAGGGTTCCTTTGTAGAATGAGTCTCCATAATACATGCTAATATGATTCCATTTACAAATACTCTCTTCATAATAACTTTTCAAGAACATTCCTATTGTGTACAGTGGGGCTTAGCTATAATTGTTTTGCTTTTTTTTTTTTTTTTTTCTGGTAGCGTAAGATTTCCTATTTCTGAAAAGTAATTGAGCTGGCCTTGCCTGTCAGTTCCAAGGCGAGGGATTGCTGTCCCTGATTGTGTCCCAGAGGGGCTTGACCTATCCTACAGAAGGATGGTGGTTCCTGCAGATGCACTGGTACATGCACACAGTCCAGCCTACTTGGGGGTCTGTGGCAGGAGGTTGGCTTGAGCCCAGGTGTTTAGGACCAGCCTGGGCAACGTGGTGAGAGCCTTTCTCAAAGTAAATAAGAAAAGACTGTTCTAAGTGTCTATTTTATATGACAGTAGATAACTGGTATAATTTTACATTTTTTCCTAAGTTTCTCTTGGTAATTGCAGCCAAACTCCTAAACTGTAAAGTCTTCACTATGCCCTTCACTTCGTACCCAAGATAATTACATTTGTGGCTAATGTCCTGATAAATATGCAACCAGCAAAAGTTATAAAAAGCAATCTTTCTCTTTTTTTTTTCTCTCTCTCTCTCTTTATAAAATTGCAAGACAGTATGTTATCTGAATTACAACATAAACTGGGGCAAGTATTCAAATTAGAGATCTTCCCAGCAAAATAGGAAGTGGTATTGCTGATTCAATTTAGGACCCAGCTCTCTCTTCCACGGGGTCCTAAGCCCTAATCTTTGCCTAGCTTTGTGGCCTTATGCAATTGCTCTTTTTAAGAGATACATAAAATGGAAACCCTGGCTATTCATAGGCAACTTAGGAGGAGCTGACATTATTCAAGAAGTTTATTGCCTGGTTCCATTTTGATGGTAACTATGTTTCTGAACAAATCCACTTAAATCTGCTTTTTAAGTGGAGGTTGTTTTAAAGAGCCATCTCAGGCCTTTTGTTTCTGTGTCCTCCATGGCGACTGTGTTTTAGAATTCCAGGAGCATTCCTGTTGGATAGCCTGATTATTTTTCAGGGTTTTTGTTGTTTTGTTTTCAGTGGTAAAAGAAGCTTATGTGGAAAGGCAAGGGCAGAGAAAATCGTGTCAGGGCAGTCCTGTGTGGCATTGCCCTGTGGTGAAGCAGGTCTGTGTCACAGAGCTGCTAATGGAAAATGTGCGAGAGAGTCGCAGGGGGCTGGGGAGCAGCAGAGATGGCATTAGGGCCCCACAAATGGAATCATCAAGGGGGCCAGTGTGGGAGGAGGCTGCTGGAAGCCGCTCGGCTGCCCCTGGAGGCTGCAGCTTCTTGCACTGTATGGCAGGTGACATTTCAGCCATTTCCTCARCCCATCACTGGCAGGGAAAGCACACGGAATCCATCTGTGAGACTCTCCAAAAGGGAGTGTCACTCTTCATCTCCCCCAGAGGTCAGAAGCACTGAAATTACAGGCAGCAGCAAGAAGGTTCCATTGCGTTCTTGAATTCAGACTGTCATCTGTTGTGTTCTCTGTCTTTCTCTTTCCCTCTCTGAATTGCTGCTACCCAGGTTTTAATCTTTATCATATATTTTTTTTCCTCAAATGTGATATGAAGTGGTGCCAGGTACAGCTTATAAAACAAATGAATGCATACTGAATAAACTATATTAGTTTTCTTTTTCCCTAGTGGTAATTTTAAAACTTTTCAAAATTAACACTAATGRACATAGAGAAATAGAGATATAAATTTCCGTGCCTTTTAATGATCAGACTGAAGACTGGCCCCTGGGGGTGACATAATTTACCATTCTCTGCTACCAGGGATGCTTCAAAGGAGGGGTTTGTGAAGCCCTGTGATTCTAATAAAAAACAGCACATATCTCAGCCCACCTTTGAACATCTCCCCCCACCACCAAACAGCCGCTGAGCAGATCTCATTTCACAAATGGAAATGGGAGCAAATACACTTTTTGCAAAATGATTTCATAAAGAGTGGGCTTGTTTAATTGTGTTTTGGGAGCCAGAATTAATATTATAGGCTGGGGAGCTCTGAGATGTGCGTGTGCGGCTGGCTTTGCCACACTGCCTGCCTCCTGGGGCAAGGCAGAGAGAAGTGGCAGTATTCAGAGACAATTTCACTTCTGCCTTGCCCTTCTCCCCCAAGTGATTTCCCAGCCAGCCTGAACCAAGCGCCCAGGCCTGAGCTGTTACATGTAATGGCAGAGAGATCTTCCCAAGCTCAAGGTCACACCTAGAGCATGCTTTGAATATTTCTTTTTTCTTTTCTTTCTTTTTTTCTTTCTCTCTTTCTCTCTAATTTATGTGACTTTCTGATATGGTCAGGATTTGCCCTTGTCTCCATTCTGCTTATTAAGGTAAATTTGCATGGAAATGGGGTCGTGGTTTTCAGAACCATTCACCTGACACTTGATCTCTTGAGGTGACCAGTGTCTACTGTGCTTTATATGAGGGTGACCCACAGAAGCCATATCCCCTGCAAACCAGAGGCAAGGCCTTAATTAGGAGAAGCTCTGCATGTTGACCTAATGGGGTGAATCAAATCAGCAAAGACATTTAGCATTAACAAAGGAGGGCAGACTTCTCCTTCCTGCGGAGTGGGTTAACTAGGTCACAAAAAATGTTAATTTGCTTTAGATGGACAGATCTTGAAGAAGATGTACGAAAAGTGTATTTGCCTTGTTGTTTGGGAATAAGTTTGAACTGGTGAAAAAGCTCCGAGAGCCATTTGTGACATTTTATTTGACTTCTGAGCTATTTTTCACTTAATACTTACCTTTGGACCGGTAATATTTGCCATTAGAAATTACCTTTGGAAAACCAAGCAAATACGGAAAATTAGAGACACGAACCCCTTGCTATCACCCTGTCACAGTCGGCTTTAATCCTCTGAGCTCTCTGCTCTTTATCCTGCCACCTGCTGCCACCTCCCTTATTTGCCCAAATCTTGTCTACTGGGGCAGAAATTCAAACTGAGAGGACGATGTGGCCCCAGTTTCCTGATCACTGAAAGTCCACCAGGTTTGAGGGTTACTTACTAACTCACTCAAAGGGTTTGAGACTTAGGGAATTTTTGAGAAACATAAATGCCAGACCACAGCTTTCCAGATTCGGCCCTGACAGTAAGCTGTCTTAGCAGAGAATCAAAGGATTTGATAGTCTCAGGGACTCAGCGCCACATTTCAGGGAGAAAAGTTTCTAGGATATGGAACACATCAGAAGAAAGTCATGCAGCTTCTAACCTGGTTGCTTTGGCTGGAGAAAGATTTATTTCATAAAATTATTTTAAAACATCAATACTCCTTAACTTTATTTGCATAATACTTTGCATCTAGTATTTCATTTCCTCTCATAATTTTATTCATTGAATATCATGATCTCCATTTTACAGATGAAGAAACTGAGGTTTAATTTCTTTCCCAAGATCAAATGGCTATTTACCAACAAAACTAGGATTCTACCCTTCTCTCTCTCTCTTGCTTTCTGTATGACATCTCCACAGATTCCTAAAAAGAAAATTTCATGCTCAATGTAATATGGTGATTGATACATTGCTCTTTCTTCACACAGGTCTCATGCATTACAAGGAGGGGCCAGAATTTTAACTCATTTAAAAAATGTGAAAATCAAAATTTCCAAAATGTTCTTGGTTTATGCTACAATAATAAAATAAGTAATTTGATCAACCAAGTCTGTCATCTCAAAAACCAAAATGCTTCCAAGTCTCTAAAACCCTGCAGAAGGACGCTGAGCTCCCCACTGGCCGGGCCATCTAATTCTCTTAAATGATTCAGATGTAAAAGAGAAAATGGCATCTGTCTAATTAACACCGCCTGGTTAAATATAGCTGCCAAGGGACAGCCTCGGGACAGTGTTTACAGAACAGTCTCCCCCAGCCCCTTGGGCCTCAAGTTCCAGTTGATAGCAAGCCTTCTGTCCTTATCAAGTGGAAACAGAGATGCCCCCAGAAGGGGGTGACAGGCCACTACAGGCCAGGCGACAGGCAAGGGGAGATGAAAGGAGAGGGAAAAGGCTGTCGTTGGCCTGCATTTCCTGCTCCTGGCATCTGTGGGTTCAGAAAACCATCCCAGGAACCAGATCTGGAAGGATCCAGGAGCTCTTGCTTCAAACACAAGCCCTGGCGTCCACCTGAGTCCTGCTGTCGTGCCTGCAGACATTCACTGGGCCACACTCCTACCCACTGCTGAGGCTGCCAGGCAGTGCCATCTGCTCTGAGGCCCTTCCCCTGGTGGAAAGGCACAATGACCACCTTATTTCTCTTCCAGCTTCACGTCCCAACATGGAAGCTGTTGCCAAGTTTGATTTCCTGGCCTCTGGGGAGGATGAACTGAGCTTTCACACTGGAGATGTTCTGAAGGTAGGTGATATGCGGCCCCCAGGGAGTGAGAGCTAGTTGAGGTCCCCCAAGTCCTGCCACTGAGGTCATCTAACAATCCATGCCTTTGTCTCTGAAGAATGTGCACAGTTCCTTTTATGAAAAGACGTTCAGCTCCATGCAGGCCAGAAGAGAGCATAAGTCACCATCTTATCCTGAGACACTTATGGTCCAGAAGGGGACAGACACCCATCCCCAGGACTGTCCCAAATGTTGTCAGCTCAGGGAGCACAAAGGAGGGAACAGGTGATTCCACCTTGAAAGATGGGGGTTGTAGGAATGTGGCAGAATGAGGGTCAGGAACGCAGTGAGCTCAGTGGGACCTTTTGCTGAAACCCAGGGCTGTGCTAAGGCAGGAGCACCCAGGTTCATGGCTGGAGCTTAGGAGAAGAGGTGAGGATGGGTACAGACGGCCAGGGAGAGGCACCTGGGCCAGACGTGGTTCAACAAAAGCCATGCACACCCAGCCACTCAGAGGCTCCTTAAAACTTGTCTTCAGCCTGTAATTGAGTTGTAGTGGCCACTTGCTGAGCTGAAGTGGCCTTGGACTTCTCCCACGATGTAGGCACACTTATGGATTCCAAAAGTTAGCCCTTGTTTTTTGCAAAAGAAACACAAAACCCTTCTGGAGGCTATTTAGTGGTCCATGATGCCAAAGGCCTCTTTTCTGGCCTCAGCACAATTGAAGAGGCTGTCCCTGTCCTCAGCAGCCCAGATGGGCTTTCTCAGATGCCCAGTGACACTGGGGCCACCACTGTCTCACCATAGAGGATTTTGTGCTATACAAAGAGGCTTGTCACGTGTGACTTGGAAATTGTCTGTGGAGGACAAGCCACAGGGGATGGGTTTGCTAAGGAATTTTAATGCTTCCAGCATGAAGCGTTCCCACGGCTCTTACCTGAAAAGGTCTAGTGACGTGGTGTGAGGGCAGTGCTCAGTGTTGAAGCTACAAGCTCAGAATAGCGAGGAGGCTGCCAACCCAGGAAAAGGTGGCTTTCCCTTCTCTGCGGCTTTAACAAGGTCCTTGAGGACTTGCCATGTGGGGAGAAGTCCCCCCACTTCTCTGTGGAGCATTGGGACCATGTGATTCTCAGTCACACTGGAGCGTACCCCACTCAGAAGAGGCCAGSGAAGGACCAGCCACTACCCTCATCTTCCATTGAATCAGAACCCCGATACTGCTCAAATTTTCCTCCTTCCCCAGACAAGTGAAAGGAAGGGAGGAGCCAAAAACCCAACCCTGGCCTCACTTCTGCTTCCCAGGCCACCTTCTGGTTTCTTTTCTCCACTTTTTGGCATTACCCCCATTCTTTCTCTCTCCCTCCCTTCTTGAACCCCTCTATAGCTCTCATTTTGGGGTGTTCCTTTTCCTCCCTCTAACCATAGACAGCAGCTTCCTGCACATACTGCCCTTGGCCATCTAATTTCCCCTCTTGCTCTGAGCTACTTCATCCATTTTTCTGGCTCCACTCTCACCTCTATGCCAAAGACCCACCATTCTGCCCTCTGCCTCCTGCTCTGACCTCTGCCTCGAATCCCAGACCCACATTTCCAGCTGTCAGCTGGATGATGCCACATGGACTCCAGACTCACCAGAACCCCACACCCACCTCACCCCCACTTCCACATCCATGTTCTGAATGTCAGCAGAGGCTGGTCACCACACCAGCAGCCTCAGTGGTCATCTATTCCCCCCTTGCCAATCCTGGTGATCAGTAGCCAACATCTCCTGATTTCCTGTCGAGCGCCAAGACCTGGCCAGGTGGCTTGCAGGCATTATTTCATAACTCAGTAAACCTGTGAAGTAGGACTACTTTTTTCTTCCATTTCACAAGTGTGAAATGGAGGCTGAGGGATTAGACCATGTGTCCAAGTTAACCCCGGTAGATTCTGACGGTCTGGGTGGAGCTTTGTGCAATTCCTACACACAATACACTACTCTGAATATTTTTCATGGTGATCTCTCTCGAGTGAGGCCCACCTTCACTAGAAAGGTGTGAGGTGAGGTGGAAAGGACTTTGCCACCAGCCAGATGTGGGTTCAACCCCCAGCTCACTACTGTGAGGCCCTGGGACAAGTTCTGCTTCCTCTGAGTCTCAGTGACTCCTTCTATCAGTGGAGGCCTAGCTACCCTGCAAGGTCCTGGCCCGAAGCAGATGCCCAGCAAAGGGTGGCCATGTTATCAGTAGACACATTTCGGCTGTCTCTGCCTGTTCATTCACACTGTCGCCATGGCCCCCTTGACTGACCTCATTGTCTGCTGTCTCTTCTTTCTTCAATCTTTCTACCAAGTAGTCCCAGAAGGACTTTTCTAGAAGACAAATCAGATCATATCATTTCCTTGCTCGAAAGCATCCAGTGGTTCTCTGTTACCAATTGATTGAAATCTAAACCATCTGGCCCCAGTGCACTATCTGATCTCATTACGCTCACAAGCAGGCGCACTTGTGCGTGCATGCACACACATACACACACATACACACAACCTTTGTGTACATAATGCCCCCGGTTCCACTACAACACAGCCCCATCTTGGGCTCTCCCCTATGCTCTGAGTGTCATTTCCCTGCCCACGCATGTTCAGACCACCCTGCCAGGTGCCCTCATTGATCCTCCCCTTTCCTGACTGCCCCAGCAAAAGCAATCCCTTGTCCTTCAGCGCCTCCCCAGCTTTCACAGCGCTTCATCTTGAGGCACAGGCTCCACTTCTCACTGCTACTCTCACCCTGTGGGCTCCCAGTTGCCCATTTCTGTGTTGGCTGCTCTGTAAGGGCCAGGGTCACTTCTGCCAAAGTGGGTCCTGCCAACATCTGGTGCATGGAGGGGGGTGCCTCCATCGTGGGCTCCCTGGGAGCAGCACCATGCCAGGTTCATCTTTGTGTCTTCCTACCATCAAACATAAGCCACCGCCCCAATAGGTTCCCAGAGCACACTTCTTGAATTGCTGAATTTCATTTGTGTGTGCTCATTTGGAATTCCATCCGAAAGCCAGCCCCTTCCCTCTTTTCAAATGTTGCTCATTGCAGCTGTAGCGGTGAAGAGAAAAACCGCAGAGTTTATGACAGAGCTCACACAATGTCTGAATGAAGGTCATCAGTGCCCTAGTCATCGCTCCTGGTGTGCCACCACAGTGTCTGCTCCTCTCATCCCGAGATGGGAAACACACCCAGGCATCCTCATGGTCATTCTCAAAGCCAGCTCTCGTCAGCCCCAGCAATTTGCTTCAGGGTGCCTTTGTCTCTTGTTTGGCTTCTAGAGCTAAAGACTAAAGAGCTTTTCATAAGAAAGTTCCCCCCAAAAAAGTGTCTGACTAGTGCATCCACCACTCTCTCCAGACTGTGAGTTCCCCAGGGTGAAGGCCCAAGTTCACTCACCTCCGTATTCTTGACACCCTAACTGCAAACAGCAGGTGCTTACAAGAGGCTGATCCGCATGGGATGGTAAACAAGATGGTGGACAAGGAACCCTGCAAAATGACCTGATCTCTGTTCTCCTCGGGGAGAAACATTTAGAAAGCCGAGAATCAAACTTTCCGTGTTCGTGTCATAAACCTCCATAGCCATAGGCTCACATAGCACCAGACTTACATTGAAATCTGTCACTGGAATTTTCCAGGAGCTTTGAAAACTGTCTCTTGACCCCCATCCATTTCTACTCGCTTTTGTACTGCGTCCAACTCGACCCCATTTCTTTCTCCTGAAACAGAGGCATAAAAGCACTAAGAGTTAATCCTACATAATTAACTTCCTCTACACCTCTGATTTCTGCCATGCCTCTAAGAGCTGTAATTCTATCCAATTTTAAATTTTTTCCTGATGTACTTTGGTCTTTCTCTTCCCACGTCTAACTTATTCTCAGGCCATGTAACCCAGAAAATTATTCTCTTAGGGAACATTTTTAAGAAGTAAGGCACTGCAATTTCGGGGTAAAACTTCATGGGTTTAGACTGAGCTCCTTGCTCACGTTTATACGATGGGTATAGAGATAAGGGGAACCGAACCGATGGAGAGATGAGAGGAACAGGAAGTTACAGGGCTCTGGGCCCACAACAGCAGGAGGAAGCCCTCTCCCCCTCCCCCAAATACTTTCCTTGCAGAAAATGAGATTTTTTAAGACCTTGCTTCTATTACACCATAAAAAGCCTGTAAATTCACCTCTCTGGAAACACAATTTCAGACCGACCAAGCGCCAGGTGGTGGAGACAAATAGCCAGCATTGGGGGATAATCTTTTGGTTTCAGGAGGAGGTAGTTAGATGGGTATGAGCCATGATTACTAAAATTACAGCTGGCTTCAGGTCAGAGAACGAAATACAAAGTGTTGTTCRTACTGTGATAAGCCAATTTCCAAAGGGCCTCTCTCACCTTAGTCCTGCTCACTTTTGGATTTGACATTTGCCCCCTGGCCAAACATTTTGTTCTCCCATGATGGGAAAAAGGAATTCCAAAGCCATGGAAGCAGTGGCCCAGAGGCGAATGTTCCCCTGGTCTCTGTGTAGTTGGGAGGCACCACCTCTGGGGTTCCTAGTTCTTCCTTTGACCTAGATTTTCTGCCTCCCCGATTGCCCCCCCACACACACATACACTCGTCCTTAGTGAAACCAACAGTCACATTTGATGTTTGAAACTATAGAGTTCTCTGTTCTCAGCAATTCTCAAACTCAAATATGGGACACACTTTTATTTCTTCGGAACAAATGATCACATTCAAAACATACACGAAAAACATAACGCTTTAAAGAACTTATAAACCCTTCTGTGTCCTTCAGAGCTGGAATCCTCCCTCACAAGAATATCACATTTGACAGATGATATTTTCATAAAGASTATGTGCTTAGGGAAGGACTTTCAGAGGGCTCTGTGAGGTGCTGGGCAGATATTATTATCCCCGTCTTCAGATGCTAATTGACTGGCCCAGCGTCACATAGCTAGTGGCAGAGCCAAGCCAGGAACCAGGCCTTCTCCTTCCACCATAAGGCCCTCTCCCCTTTGGTCCCCCTCAGGAGTGATACTAGAAGTAGGTCAGCGTTACTTCTCCAGCATGAGGCTCTCTGCAACTCTCCTCCTGGCTTTTTCTCTGGGAGAGAGAAACCCCTGGGACCCATGACTTCAAATCCATCCCTTTGGATGACTCCCAAGTGCCACTCTGCCACCCCCACCTCTAGCCTGTGTCTGGCTCCCACATGCACTGCTCCTGAGCCTCCCTTCCCCATCAGAGTTCACCCACTACAAGCTGAAGTCCATGTGTCCTTCCTGCTCGACTCCTGCTTTCTATTTCAGGACAGACATCTCTACCCACTCCATCTCCCAAGCTAGAAATTCAGAGTCATCCCCAAATCCCCCTCTCCCTCAGCTCCCCAGAAGGTCAAAATCCCGCCCATGTGGCTTTCTCAGTTCCTCTAAAATATGTCCTCACCTCCTTTTAGCTCAGGCCCCATCATCTCTTTCCTGGGGAGTGACACTCACCTCCCCTCAGTTCCTCCCCTGACTTTATCCCACCCCCAGCTCATCCTCACCCTGTGATACAGAGCTCTTTCTTAACTCTCTTTCTTACTGTTATTTCCGGGCCTAAAGTCTTTTCCTCACTCTCCATAAATTCCAAGATAAAAATCCAAACTCTTCAACATGGGCCCAGGGGTTCTGACAGGCGTCCCAGAATGCACCTCATTCCTCATGCCTTAGGAGTGGTTCTTTGGCCACCTAACTTTGCCTGAGTAACTCACTCATTGCCTGGGCAGATGGCCTCTCCCCCAGGCTGTCTTTTCTACCCATCCTCTTCCTAAGATGACTTTCCTCTTCATCTTAGTCACTCAATTCACCAGGACATCTTCAGCTACAAGAAACAAACTAAAAATGGCTGAAACAATCACAGAGCTATTATTTCTCAAAGTTCAGAACTAGGAGGGCTCCTGGGTGGTTAATTCAGTGGCTCCTTGAATTTCCTGCCCTCTTCTGCTCCACCATCCCCGTTTTGAACTGTGGCCCACGTCAATGTCACATTACATTAGAAGCATCTCAGTGGGGGTGGCAAATATTTTTCTTTTAACGGTGACTCTTATTTTCTGAAATAAGCAGAAGCTTCATAGAGCCAAGTCTGGTGAGTAATATGAGTAACCAAGGTAGGTGACAGTGTGTGGGGTAACAGTCAAGAGGGGACCATACAGTAATGAGACAGAACTTTTGGTTTTGCTTGTGCTCTGGCTTTAAAAGCAAGTTGACAAACACCATCCCATGTATCTTGAATCCTGTCCCAGCGATCTGTGAAACACAGAATGTGAACACACAGAGGTGCTGTTTCCACAGCTGGTCCCACTTGGATGTCCAAGTTTTAATCTACTTGTTTGGAGAGTTTAATTTTTTGAAGTTTCCTGGTCACCTGGAAGAGAATAAAAAACTACTACGGAGTAGTCATTCTTGCCTTCCCACCGTCTGCCCAGATGAGGAACTAAAGATGCCAAGACCCAAGACAAAGGAAAAGGAGAAGGAATTCAGAGAGGCCCCCACGTGCTGGGTCTGGGAAGCCAGGCTATAGTGGGGTGACATGAGTGGGTGGCACAAGTGACAGAGATAGCTTGGGGTCAAAGAGAAGCCATATTCCAAAGGCAACCCCACTGAGTGCCCCCTTCCCGACTAGGCGGACTCACAGCAGCTACCTGGATCCGTGGCTTTTTTACCTCTACATCCAAAAGGACATTCTTTGCCCTGCAGCCCCTTCTCTTGCTTTTCCGTGCTCCCTGCAGCAACTGCGTCCTTTGTTCTCTCCCTGTAGATCTTAAGTAACCAAGAGGAATGGTTCAAGGCGGAGCTTGGGAGCCAAGAAGGATATGTGCCCAAGAATTTTATAGACATCCAGTTTCCTGAGTAAGTATTTCCAGCCTGCTGAGATTGGCCTACCCACACACGCTCCCCTTACTTTTTCAGTCGTCACTAAAATTATCCATGCATACCCAAGATACTGTCAAAAATGGTTGCCTCTGGAGATCTCCCTCCAGAGCCTCCAGAACCACACAGCGGAAGGCCAGGGGTGGGAGGAAGATTTGCATTTCATTTCATTCCCTTTTGAAGTTYCCACCATGTGCATGTATCGCCTATTTTAAGTTTTTATAAAATAAGGTTATAAATTAAAATCACCCACAATGATTGCAATTGCAGGTTTCCAAGCATCCCAAAGGGGGCGCTGTTGGTCACCTCGCTTCAGAAGGGCCGTTTTGCAGTTACCTTCCACCCAAACAAYTCTGTCCCTAATAGGGCAGCTGTGGGGACACTCCCTGCCTTCCTTAAAGTATATGTTCACCCCAGCCAGAGAAGAGAAGTCAGTGGGGGGAAGGGAAATTCCCTCCAGAAAGAGGAAATGAAACACTGAGATTGGGCCCCAGTTGTCTCAAGAATTGACCACAAGGGTTAGATAGAAATCTAATCTTGTCGCAGAGCCGGCGGCTCACCCAAACAGCAAAGGTTTGTTGGCACCGATGACTCCTATGAGGTGCAGCAGCACCACCATCAGTGATCCAATACTGACCACTGAACCAGATGAATGACCTCATCGGGCCCTTGATGCTGCCTGGTCATCTGCTGGGTGCCTCCCGCCCCTCCCCCGCCTCACTCTAAGCCCTGGACCTGGATTCCAGGTACACTGAGAAAATGGAAGTCACCAGAAGGGAAGCTCCCTGATCTCCTCCCCTGATCCCCAGCCCCCACTTCTACAGCCTCCTGCAACTGAGGTCAGACATGCCCCCCTGCAACTGTCCCCAGCGAACTGCCAGTTCTTCTAGCAGAAATTCTCCCCTCTCCCACATCCACATTCTTTCTCTCTTTGCTAGATCACTTCTCTCAGCAAACACACATGCTGCCTTTTCTCCAATCTCGCCAAAAAAAATAAACGAAAACMAAAACCAAAAATCTCTTGATCCCCAATCCCTTCCAGCTACCACTTCATTTCTGCAAAAGAATCGTGTTTGATATTTCCAATTGCTCACCTCCCGTTCCCCCTGGAGCTCAAGGGCACAGTGAACAGAGAGAATAGCTTTGCAATGACATGGAATATTGAAACCCTGACTGCTTGTGCCTAATGTGAGTGTGTGAAAATCTTTGGAAGTCTCAAAAGAAATCACTTCTCCAATCCTAGTTAGAGAACACACACATTTTCTAATCCCCCACCCCAACTGCCTGTTGCCCCTTCTAAATTATTTCCTTTTGAGCGATGGCTGCTGTGGAGGGACTTCTTCTCCCATCCCCACTGCTTCCATGTGGCTATGACGTGGCAGTCACTAGGTCAGCCCTGCAAGGGTGTGTGGCAAACTCTGGAAGATCTCCAGACCTCCAGAGAGACTCTGCCTCCAGCCCCTGGTGGTACAGCCAGCATTTCCCTGTGGCCAGGTCTGAAATAAATGCAGCCCTTCTGCTACCCCTGTCTCCAGTGCAGGTTCCCAAATTCTAGGAAGCTTGGAGTATGGTTCACAAAGGAACCCAAAGGCCTGTCAGGCATTTCTCTTAAAGGGCCATGTGCATTAGCCTTACTGGGGGCAGCGATCAGAGCAGCCACCTTGAAGCAATGTCACACCATCCCACCTATGGCCCCTGAGCAATTATAAACTCTCGTTTTGCTTCTTAGAGGTTGAGAGAGGTTTCTGGCCTCCTGCCCTGGGGCTGTCTATACTCTGGGCCTTGCCCTGAGTGTTCGACTTTTTCCTGCATGCCACCCTGCGTGCAGCCACATTCCAGAGACTGCCACCCTGGCTGCAATCCTGAAAAGGCAGCTTCTCCMGTTTGCTTCTTTTCCACAGTAAAGATGATCTCCCAAGCAGGGTGTGTTGGTACCTGCCTATAATCCCTGCAAGGTGGCAGGCTAGGGCAGGAAGATTGCAAGTTCAAGACCAGTCTTAGCAACTTGTTGAGACCCTCAACAACTTAATGAAACCCTGTCTAAAAATAAAAAATATACAGGGCTGGGTTGTAGCTCAGTGGTAAAGAGCTCCTAGGTTCAATCCCTGGTACCAAGAGGCGGGGGGGATGATTTTTTCTCCAGACTGTTTTTGTTTTCTTGGTGGTTGCGGTGGGGTCCCAAAGCAGAGGGAATTGCTCACGAAGAATTCCACAGGAGCCGGCTCTGTAGACGCTGTTCTCTGGGGCTGCTGCCAGACAGAGCTAGTCCCGGGTTCTCCATGCCTGCCTGGGTAGCCTGAGTCCCTGGCTGTAACTCACCCCAACTGCCCCATGGAGGAGCCTCCAGCTCACTGAGGCCTCAACCTGGGAGTGAATGCCCCAGGCCCTGCCCAGCCCGCTGGCCTGGCATCCCTTCCCAGTGCCCATAGCAGCCTTCCTCCTGTGCATCCTCTGCCCCACAGTCCTCCTCTATCTGATCCCRCACACGCACACAGCAGCAGCGCAGCAGCAGGCAGCTGCTTCCTGCCGTGAGTCCCTCCCTCTTGGCCCCATTTTGGTGCAGTGGCACATTTCCATGATTCAGGGTTTCCAAGCTGGAGAGAGGCTTCTCCTGGAGGGAAGAAACAAAGAGGGCGAGTCAAGAGGAACACTCACTTGCTTTTCTTGAAAGCTGCTTCTAACCCTTGCTGGGTTTCTGAAAGCACCTGCCCCTCAGGCTTCTCTGCCCTCTTCCAACCCTCCCTCCCTTCTTTGTTTTCCCTTACCGTCATGCCTGGCATCAAGATCCTCTTGCTGTCTCTCTCCCGGTAGGTGGTTTCATGAAGGACTTTCGAGACACCAGGCAGAGAACTTACTCATGGGCAAGGAAGTTGGGTTCTTCATCATCCGGGCCAGCCAGAGCTCACCAGGGGACTTCTCCATCTCCGTCAGGTACTGGCCACTCCTGACACCGTCCTGATCCTTCTCAGCTGATAGTCGCCCAGACTACTGAAGCCACAGGTGACCTCTCAAATGTGACCCAGTGACCAGAGGCACAGTGGCTTAGGTGACCAAGCTTGGTGACATCTTATCAAACTGTACTGTTATCCATTTCCTTCCGGGAACCTGTGTCTGTAACTCCTTAGTGAGTTGGGTTGTGTTCAAAATTATGCCACAATGATCTGCCTCTCCATCTAGGCCAAGTGCTCCGGAAGAACAGGATTTTATCACTTCATCTTTGTGCACTTAACAGAGTCTTGCACGCGGTAGATAATCGCAGAATATATATGGAAGGAAGGAGAAGGGGAGGAAGAAAATAAGAACTACTACTTGACCATATCCACCTGGGGTTTAAATTTTAAACCCAGAGGTGCTTTACCACTTAGCCACATCCCCAGCCCTTTTTTTTTCTTCTTTTTGAGACAGGGTTTCCCCAAATTGCTGAAGCTGGCCTCAACTTGTGATCCTCCTGCAATTACTACTGATGTATGCTTGAAGAAGGGTCAGAGACAAGTAGAAATCCCAAGTCATGGCTGTAAGACAAGTAGAAATCCTATGTAGGCAGCTGAGCACAGAGCAAGGCTGGCTCAACCCCACACCCTGGCACCCTGCGGCAGACCTGAGAACAACTGAGCACAGCCCAAGGAGTGGGCAGGGAGGGCTGTGACTCCTGTGTGGCACCCGGGAGGAAGTAGTGACTCAGTCCAGGCTTAGACATGACACAGCCCCAAATGAGAAGCCCGGGGTCTGAACACAGTATGTGTGGTCAGCCTTTCAGGGACTGCAAGTACTTGGTGACCACTCATGAAAGTGCAAGAAATAGAGCTGATAGGGAATCAGGAGAAGGCCTGGCCACCCGCGCAGTAAGACCCTCCTGCCAAGTTCATTGGCAGGAGATTCCAGTCTGAATCTTTCAATAGGTTTTGAAAGTCATTACAGCTTTATCACTTTGAGTACAGAAATCTAATCTCAGGTAATAAATTATGGCTACCTCACTCTTTAAAGGAAGTGGATTTTTTAAAACACAGGAAGGACCCACAAATAATGGGTCAACCATTTGTATACACACTTGGCTCTAGGGGGATTGCAAGTAGCTGGTCTCTTTAGCTTTGCCCTGCAATTTTGCCTACACTCTTAATTTTCCTTAAAGCTTTCCTTTAATTAGTTGGGTGATTGTAAACTTTAGCTCAAGCCAATATTAAAGTATCACAAATTCCAAACTCATTAGGTCTTAATTAATGAAATTTTGCTCTATTAATAAACTTTCAAGTCAAACCTATTTTTAAGGGCCCTAATTATGAATTGGACCAAGTAATTTGTTAGATTGAAGGGCATCTCTTTCTGTCTTTGGTTTTTCTTGGCCAAGACCCTGGACTTTTTCAGCTATGAATTTTGGTTTCTATTTCCTCAATTGAAACAAATTCTGCAAAATGGTGAGCCTTGACTTCTGCCTAAGTCTTCCCAGGCATTGAGGCAATATGGCCTCTTGTTATGATACTTATTACTACAATATCTATTGTATATCTTCTCCAGAAATGTAGCATAATATTTTCCAAAGTAAAGTCATTTTTATTTATTTTTATATCTTCTTTCTGTCTGAGGCACAGATGATTAAGAGCTCATTGTAGTTCTTCACTTGTGCTTGTTAAGGATCAAGGTTTCAGAATCTGGATCCCCACATTACATTCTTTTCTGTGCCCCTCTCAGGACTTGAGACAATGGTCAAGTCATTCTCTGTCTATAGACCCAGATGACCTGCAGCACCCCCAGTGTCCACTGCTGTCTCAGCTTGTGAGAGTGAAAGGGTTAATGTTTCACACTCTGGAGTCCTTTGACCAAGAGATAGTGGATAAATAATTATAATAAACAAGAACATTTCCCCCTCCTCTTCGTGGTAATAACTATGAGTCAGGCCATGGGGCTTTAGGGGGAAAGAAAGCCTCTGTCAGTGGCCAACACACAGGGAAAAATTCATCATAATTATCACAGGTCAGTTACTATCCCAAAGCAGTAGAGATAGCAGTTACTGTGTAAACTTCAGCTTCACCCAGTTATGGGCAGAGCCCAGCACAGAAGATGAGAATGAGGGTTAGAATTCCTGTCCCCTCAAAATACCAACCTCTACACCCATCTCTAAGAAACTTCCACTGACCTTCAGAGGTATCTCTACTCTCYAAAACCCTTTAAATTAACCTTTCTGCTGAGTCAGTCTGTTGGTATCATTAGTGCCAGTATATCTTTAAATATACACATAGATCTGTTTGAAAAATAAGTTTTACATATAAGGAAGCATGAGTTGGTCATGGAATAGGACTAGAGATGATAAGAAAAGTCCAATACCCTCTTTCTGGATGGATAAAATTAAATTTCTCTAATCTTGATACAAATGTGCCCTATCACTTGAGTCCAGACTGGTATCCAATACAAAAGTGCTGATCTAAAAGAAGTCAGCATGTCTACATGGCCTGGTGGGCCAAGCTCACAAGACTGGAAACAGAGACCTGCCTAACCCTCACAGTGATCTTGACTGAGGCCCTGCACCTTTCTGAACCTGCCCATCCACATCCTCATAGAAGTCAGGCTATAAAATAAGGTCTTTTCCAATCAAACTCTATGGTTCCAAATAATACTTTTCCCCCAAAAGCTCAAAATGCTTTATAACCCTATTTATGCAAAATATAAACCAATATCAAGAAATCCTCCTAGAGAAAAAAAAAATGTAACAAATTCCTTAAGGATAAGAGCAACTTTTTCCTAACCGGTGCTAGTTTTATAGGCTTAAAGAAGATGGTTCAAAGTATTTCTGATAACAAAAAAGATTAACTGGGGCTTAAAAAAATCCTCTGCTGCAGAGCCTTACCATGTCAGGACACTGGTGTTGTCATGTTTAAAATAAACATTATGAAAGGTCCTCAATCTCTTAGTCTTTAAGACACTTGCAACATTTTTTCCCCCTTGTAAATATTGGCTCCATGTCCAAGACAGATTCCAGCTCATCTGATTACCTTCTGTTGATGTGAAAGTCCCTCCTGAGTGGTCCCTCCCACAAACCTCCTGCTAGTGCTTGGCTAGACCAGCCTTCCTGCCCAGTGATGGGAGAATCATCCATATCTACATTTCCTGCCCAAACTGAACTCTACCATCCTGGGTGCAAACATAGCTAGAGGCTCTGTCATCTCATAACATGTAACCTGGATTTGCCTTCCTCTCCAGGCATGAGGATGACGTCCAGCACTTCAAGGTCATGCGAGACAACAAGGGCAATTACTTCTTGTGGACTGAGAAGTTTCCATCCCTAAATAAGCTGGTGGACTATTATAGGACGACTTCCATCTCCAAGCAGAAACAGATTTTCCTGAGGGATAGAACCCGAGAAGATCAGGTATGACTCAGATCCACATCAACCCTGACCTAGAGATTTTAGGAGGTCCAAGCTCCCACTGAGAAAATGCATTTAATGGGCTGATCCCAGAGTGTTCTGAAAAGCAGGATAACCCTGAGGTCAGACCTCAGTTTCAGTCCTAACTTAACACTTCCTAGCTATGTGACTTTGAAAAATTCTCCAATCCTCAGTTTCCTCATCCACAAAATGGGGATAGGAGTGCTACCTACTTCCCAGAGGGTTGTGACTGTAAGAGAATAGAATGGATGCCATCTCTTCCATCATTCTGAATCACACTGCAAATCCTCCATGAATTTAGCTCTTTGTGGGGTGCTACAATTCTGTCACTTGCAGACATTGAAATGTGTTTTCAGCCCAACTCAGGAGCTGCCCAAGGAGGGAGTAGGGGACTCCTACTCTCTGAGAGAGTAGGATCCCAGAGTAAAGCAGCAGGTGGAGCTTTGTGATGGCTTGAGGGTAAGTTGCAGGGGGACACTGAAGGAGAAAAACAGACCTGGAATTTTTGCTCTTGCAACTATTTGTAACACAGAGTACTGTTTAATAGAAAAGAACCAGATTAAATCCTGATTTAGCCACCACTTACCTGTATTACCTAGTCAAGTGAAGAAACCATTCTTAGTATCAGTTTTCTCATCTGGAGAATGGGGAGAACATCAATACTCCCTCACTGGGCTCTTGTGAGAATGAAATATCATACAATCGCAGCCTTGCCTGCCTAAGAATCGGGTCTGTAATAGATATTAAGAGAAAGGTTATCTACCTCCTGTGAGTGAATTCTCACACATGTGCACACACACGTGCAATATGTAAACTATTTTTCAAAGGAAAATACATGGTTATAAGAGGCAGGTGTTATAGAAAGAGGCATTGACTGGGCTAGTTGAGCCTAGTTATTTGAAAAGTGTTGAGACTTTTAAAGCAACATGTGCGCTGGGGAAGTAAAGAAAACCCTCCCTTCCAAGCTGCTGGCTGTTTTTAAGGCTGAGAAACTATAAAGGAGGAAAGGGTGTTCCCGCCAAGTGCACACAAAGTACAGAAAGGAAAACAAAGGTTAACCAAGACCTTGTGCATTATTTCAACCAGGAAATGGACAGAGGCATTAACTTACTAGGATGTCCATTCAGAATAACAGAGACCATATTAAATTGTATTAAACTGTATTAAATGAGTTATTAAATGGGAGAGCATATACGAAGTCTGGGGCTCTGGGTAACTGTTTGTTAAATAGAACTAAGAAGTCTTTCTGATTCACGAATGGTGACAGCATGGAGTAGCAGGCCCGCTCCTTCCYGACATGCTGACATGCCGGGCGCCAGGCCTGGTTTCCATGGTGCTGCTGGAATGCGGCTGTTTGGGTCTCTATTGCCAGGCTGTAAATGACAATTCAGAATCACACAAAGTCAACAGCAGGGCCTATCTGGAGGGCGGAACTCCAGCGGTGTGGCAACATGTGATAAGGGAAGGTGGCATTGTCAGTAAAATGGAATAGTTAAGCTTGATTACATGAGAAAAACAAACCCACTAGAAAAGGATYGAACGGGTACCAGGTGGAAAGAGTTGTCAACCAGACCTGGAACCCCAAACACTGGGAAAACCTGAGAATGTAGAGGTCTGGGTCTGAACCATCCATTGTCTCAAAGCTGCCACCCCCCCCCCCACAGCTGATTCTTGAAGTTGTATGAGCACAGTCTAGAAGCTGCCAGAAAGATGGGAGAGGGCCAGGAGATCCAGGAAGAGGATGGATGGGTCACCTCTGTTCTCTCTCCCAGGGTCACCGTGGCAACAGCCTGGAGCGCAGGTCCCAGGGCAGCTCGCATCTTAGTGGGGCTGTGGGGGAAGAAATCCGGCCTTCAATGAACCGGAAGCTGTCGGACCACCCCCCACCTCCTCCCTCACAATACCACCAGCACCAACAGCCACCCCCACAGTACCCCACGGGGCCGCAGCCCCCACCGCAGCGATACCAACAGCATCACCACTTGCACCAGGTATCTGCAGAGAATGGAGTTCCACTTGGTGAGGTGCATGGAGGACTTGCCCTCCCCAGGCTCCAGCATCCCAGGCCTGGCCCAGCCTCCCTGGGACTCACAGAGCTCATGAAAGAGATCCTGCCCCCACTCCATGACTGAAATATGGACATTGCTGTTGGCAAACAAGTCTGTAAACTAAATGGCTCCCTACCTGATGCCCACGCCTGCGTGCGCAGGCACCCCCACACACGTTTACCCTGAAGACTCAGGGAACAATTGCTTCATTTTCCTATCAGCAGAATTCCAAATCTATTAATGCCCCTTAGCCCATCTGGCTGCAGAGATCCACAAGGAAAAAAAGGATTAACACCTGCAATGGAGGCTTGCTTATTTATTTATCCCCTGCCTGTTCCAGATGGGATTTCTGGCGGCTTACAGAGGTGGACAATACAGTCTGATAGCATCATTCCTAAATTCCTTAGCAGAGCACACAAAGGCCTTTGTGAGCTACCTGCATCTAAGTCGACAGCCTCATCAGCTACCTCCCCCTCCCCTATGCAAACACACCCCAGCACCCGGCTGCATTTTCTCTCTGTCTTTGTGGCTTTTTAGAAGCTGTTCTCTGACCAAAGAACCCTTCCTTGGCCAGTCCTTCTGGAGTTCTGGCGTGGCCTCCTCTGTGAARTCCCCTGATTTAGCCAGGCAGACCTGGACTTTTCTGGGTGATCACAGCACTTCAATGTGTAAGGTCCCCCCTAGATGGGAACTCCGAGGAGATGGAGACCTTCTCTTTCTAGCAATATATGCCTGATGTCTGCTACTGCCAGACACCAGGTAGGTACCTAATAAATATTTCTTTTTTTTTAATTATTTTTTAGTTGTAGTTAGACATAATACCTTTATTTTATTTATTTTTATGTGGTGCTGAGAATAGAACCCAGGGCCTCGTATGTGCTAGGCAAGCGCTCTATCGCTGAGCCACAACCCCAGCCCCTCCATTTTTTTTTTAAAGAAAAAAGAACATACACATTTCTTACRTGAGAGCATGAGACTCCCCTAGTGAATATTTCTTAACTGAACAAGCAAAAGCCACCATCATCTTGGCCTTCAGAATCCAAGGTCCCTTTGACCTCCCTCCCCTTCTCTCCATCATCTAGGGTTTATGGTCATGCTCAGAAAATTCTCCTGTATCCTGGGTGTGTCRATGGCACCTCAGCAAGGCTCGGGAGGGTAACGATCCGCTGTTGCCTCTGTCTCTAGGAACGTCGTGGAGGCAGCCTGGACATAAATGATGGGCACTGTGGCGCAGGCAGCGAGGTGAACGCAGCCCTCATGCATCGGAGACACACAGACCCGGCCCAGCTCCAGCTGGCAGGGGTAAGCGGGCTGGGGGTGGGGTGGAGTGGGGTGAGGCCTGGGGCTAAAGGGATCCAGCAGTGCCGGCTCCAGGGGTTCCTAGTCTTGCTGTTGGGCTGGCTCTGTCCTGTCCCCATGGTGCTGTGGATGCAACCCAGTGCCTCATGCAGTCTGGACAAACACTCTGCCACTGAGCTACAACCCCAGCCCTGTCCCCAGGCTTCTTGCCTCTCACTCTGGCAGGGTGAGATCTGCTTTTATCTTTGTGATCTGTCTTGACTCAGGACTCAATCGTACTCACCTGGAAGGCTTGCCATTCTGTGTGTCACTTGAAGAAAATAAAAGTACCTCCTTGTAATGTAGAGAGAGTGGTTAGGGACTCCCTGCGGGCATTAGAGAAAAACATCTCTGTGAATAAAAGTGCTGAGCCTCAAGGCTGGGGTGTAGCACCGAGCTGGGGCGGAGCAGGAGCCTAGCATGTGCCAGGCCCTGGTCTCTCTCCAGCACAACAACAAAACAAAACAAGAGGTAGCTTCAGGGCTGTGCATGTCCATCTGCTTTAAGTGGCAGGGGGTCAGCTTCTGTGGAGGTCATGGCTCAAGGAACCACTGCATGCTCTCTGCAGAACAGTGGCTCTGAAGGCCAGCTGGCCAGCCTGCAGCTGCTAAGCATCCCTGCTTCCCCAACAGCGCGTGCGGTGGGCCCGGGCCCTGTACGACTTTGAGGCCCTGGAGGATGACGAGTTGGGATTCCACAGTGGAGAGGTGGTCGAGGTTCTGGACAGCTCCAACCCATCTTGGTGGACCGGCCGGCTGCACAACAAACTGGGCCTCTTCCCTGCCAATTATGTGGCACCCATGATGAGATGAGCCCTGCTGGGGGGACCGGAAGCTTTCTGTCTGAAGCTATCCCCAAGAAAGCGGGCAAGGAAAATTCTCCTATATCCTGGCTGTGTCGCTGGACCACACAACTACATACCATGCATACAGTAGACACGCGTACATGTATATGCATATCCACACCATGTTTTATAATAGTAATTTATTGGCAATTGAGTTGGTTTATATGGGCAATTGGGTTGGTTGAAATGGAAAGGAACTCAGATGGAGAGTGATATCTGTGCTTCTTTTTTGCTCCTCTCATGGAGTGCAGAAGGCAGTGGGGGAGTGGGGCAGGGGGCAGGAGAACTGGAACTTCAAGAGTTGTCCCTACTTCCTCCCTGGTTTGGGAATTTTCCCAGACAGCAGCCAAGCACAGGCCACACCCCAGCATTGGACRCAGAACAGCAGGGTGGAGCTGGACGTGGTGGGGCACGTTGCAGCTCACTTGCAAGCCTCACGCACCTGGAGGGTTGCAGGGCAGCTTTCCTCCCGTTCTCCAGGAGGTGGGCACTGCTGCATCAAGATTTAAGGTGCAGCTGATCCACGGCCACGGGCACAGAGCAAGTCTGAACAGGAGCTCACAGGGGCGAGGACAGGAGCAGCTGCGTGGGAGAGTCCCCGCTGTGCAAGGCTGGCCTCCTGGAGATGCCCAGCCACCACATGCATCCTCCCCAAACAATGTTCCTTGGGTGATCTTTTCATAGGCTGTCTGGAGAGGGCGTTTCCAACATGGGACTCTGTGAGGAGTTGAAGCTGGGAGGTGGAGGGATTTTCCATAGCTCCCTGTGGCTTACTTGGACGTGACCTCAGTTTCTCCAGCTACAAAGGAAGCTGCATCTTAGATTCTATAAAGTGCTGGAGAAGCCCTGGCTGACCATGCTGAATTTGAGCATCATTCTTTTCTGGCTGTCAGGGTGTTTCTTCGGGGCTCTGCTCATTTTTTCTTGATTCTTGTGTTTGAGGATGTCTTCCCCAGTGGCCCAGAGAGAAGCCTGACTAGGGATCGATAGATCAATTGATGGATTGAATATGACCCTGGGTGGGAGCAGGCTTTGAAATGAGTTCCCTGTTCAATCTGACTGTTGGACCACTCCTGGCCTCCCCTCTCCCAAAAATTGCACTTGGGGAGAGGAACCCCACTATCACTGTTCCCGCTTGTCACCTCAAACTAGAGTCGTGTGTCCTAGTGCTCTAGCCAGGGGTGTGAAACACAGATCAACCTGGCCAGAGAGGAAGTGCATTGTTTTGTGGAACCTAGGAGCAAACACATCTGTGCAGAGGGCACTGAGGGAAAAAAGAGAGAGTGCCTGCCCATGCATGTGTACACACSTGCCAATGTGTGTGCCGATGTGCACCCGATGTGCTCCCCCTAAGCATGTGCATCTGCGGGCTAAGACAGGAGAAAAAGGGGTGGCGTTGAAGGTGTTGGTGAGAGTGCACGATGGGGCCCCGTTCCTTTGTTTCTCCTCCTCACCCCGTGTGCTCTAGATGATAAAAGAGAGCTTCTGACTCAGAAGTGACTGCGTAAGCTCTGTCCCTTGTGACTCTGATTCTACAATTCTCTGATCCCCATGTTCTCTTTAGAGAAAAAGGGGAAGAAAGGGACTCTGTGGCGGGGACTAGGAGGGAAGAGAAAATAGCCTGGAAGCAGCCAGGGAAGCAGARTGTGAGTGAGGAGAGGCCGCAGCCTTCGGAAGCAAAGGCAGGATCAAGGCAAGACACTAAGTGGGACAGGAAGGGTGAGCTTGATGAGAACAGGGGCAGCCAGCGCAGGAGGGAGGGGCCAAGGCAGGTGGGAAAGGGTGACTCCCAAGAAGGCAAGGAGCAAAGACACCCCAGAAAAACAAAGCAGGAGAAGGGGAGCCAATGCATAGCGCCCTCATCAGCTCTCCTGGTGCTAGGTAATGGGAAATATTATGGTAAATAAAAGCCAGAAGGACTCTTTGATTTTACAGTATTTGCAAACCATATGCTTTAAACAGCCCACAAACTTCATCCGTTTGCCTGCTTCTGTGGGAGGATCAGCCGCCGTGTGGCTCTGGTCTAGATCTCGAGCCTTGACACACCGTGAAGAAGTCAGCAACACAGCCATGGCTCTGCTCTGCCCGGTGGCCCAGCCCCCAGGTGGGAGTGGGAGGACCCCAGCACTGGCAGGGGCCTTKGCCTGGAGAGGCTGACCACATGAGCGGGCCGAGTGAGCACAGTTTTCACAACTCTGGGAACAGGGTGTCTTGCTCTCCAAAGGGCCATCGTGGGAGCAGGAGGAGTGTTTCTATCAAGGTGCCCTGCCCTGCTCATCAGTGTGGCTCAATCCAGAAGAAAGCAGGGGAGTCTTCTCCCACACAGGCAGAACAGGGCTCGTAGGGACCAAGCCAAGAAGGCAAGGACCACACTGTCCCCACTGGGGAACAGGAGCAGGAGGAGCTCAGCTCTTCTCGGCCACTAGTGGTGTTCAGGGAGGGGGCACGTGGAGCTGCTCCCCTGCCCCCTCCCCTCTACCCCAGTTTGTCCCCCTGAGCCAGGGGAATGTCCACCCAGCACTTCTCACCAGCCACACAACTAGCATGCAGCACATTGTGTCTGGTTTGGGCTGTGACGCTGTACATGACTTAGGAGCAGGGAACTTCCAGAGAAAAACCAGTTCCTGTTCAACCAGTTGGGTTTTGCTAACCTCTTACTGAGGACCACTGCATTTCAATGATCTGGCACCTGCCACTGCCCACCCACTTTCAGATGGCCTTGGGATGATCTCAGGCCCCTGCTTCTCAAAATTTCAAGGGCCTGCAAATTGCCTGGGGACCCTGTTAAAATGCAGAAGCCGCTTCAGTCCTGCGTTTCTAACCAGCTCCCCGGCGCTGCAGGCAGGGTCTGCACTTGAGCAAGCAGGAAGGGTGAAGAACTTGGCAGTGAGCTAAACAGCTAGAAAAATCAAATKGGATTATTTTTCTGAGGCTACTCAGTCATTTCTCTTAGTTGGTAATGAATACRTCACTTTGATTTTGGGACAGACCCAATTCCGAGCTGTCATTATGACATCATCCATGTTTGACAGCCCAGTGACTTATTATCTTCATCTTTACCAGGAATCAAACACCTTTCGGACAAACAGGAATTTCCTAATAGTAATTGTTTTAAACATGAGCAGAGTTTACAGAAAACATTGCAAAAGCTTCTTAGGAAATCTTTGAACATAAAATTGACACCCGTCACATGGGGGCAATAAGTGAGACAGGCACATGGGCCTCCATGACATTATTGGGTCTCCAACAACCCCAAGCAAAACAGCCCACAGTGGGGACAGATTATCACTGTCAAAATATTTGCCAGTTGCCTTGTCTAAAGTCGACATTTCTGCCTGTCTGTACCAAGAGCAGTATGTGAAAAAGATTTATTGTCTCAATTCTTTTAAAAAATATATTTTTCAAGTTTCACCACTTCATCACCGCTGCCATGCCAGCCTCCTGTCCCTCCTAGGCAACAATGTCCTCCTCCATACTTTCCTCCCTGCATTGTTTCTTGCCCCCAGTACATTTCCCACACAGACGCTGGAGTGAAATTTGTAAAATAAGTTAATCTTATCAGATCACTCTCCTTCCAACTGCCCAAAGTCCTAATGTGACCTTGCCAGGTTTGGCCTCTGCCAGGATCCCTCTCCAGCCTCCTCTGGTGCTTGTCCTCTTTTTTCATGTCCCTGAACCACTGGCCTTCTCTCAGCCTCCAGATAGCCCAGGATTTGTCCCACATAGCTTCTGTTCTTTACCTGCGAATTCTTGGTCAGGCCTGGGTTTAAATGTCACTGCCTCAAATAGTCCCCCCCATGACCTATAGACTAGACCCCAAATCCCATGCTTCCTGAACAGCACAGACACAGACTGAGTTATCTGACTGCTAGACTGGAAGCTCCSTGGGGCAGGGATCGGCTGTTTGTAAACCACTGTGTGCCCAGCATCTCCCATGGTGCATAGCATGGAGCCTTAATAAATGTATGTCTAATAAATGAACAAGCAAAACCTGCCTTGTCTCATCCGTCCATTCGTTCTGTAACCCAAACGTCTCGGGCTTTACAGACACAAGGTAATATYAACAACCATGGTCTGATTACAGTAGCTTTAGCCACTGCCCTCAGATTCTCCTTGAGGACTTCTGAGAGTCCCAGAGAGGGAGGTTGGTATCTCTCACATGTTTGGGCACCGTCTGTTCATGCTTCTTCCTGGGGTTGTGTTCTACTGCCCTGGGTGTCCCTTGCTGGTGACACCCTCCCTGATGCTGTGATCTGCTATGCACTGCATTGAACTGCAGGGGAAGTGGCCTCATCCTTCAGGACACCAAAGCTGCCCCGCCGGCCACAGAACAGGACAACCGGGTAAGGGGTGGGCTGGAGGATGGTTTGCACCCAGCTCTGAAAGGCACCAGCGTGGGCCCAGCACCCCTCAATGTCTTCCATGAATTCTACTGGTCCCCTTCCCTCCTGAGCCCTCTCTCCATCAGAACAGTGGATGCCAGCCTTCCCCCCATCTCTCTCGAGTCTCTCTCTCTTCCTGGTAAGTCTTTCTCCTTCAGCTGGAAAGAAACATCCCCCACCACTTCATCTGTGCCACAGATAACACGGAAGGGCTCAGCTGAACAGTCTGGACTCGGCTATAATTCATTCATTAAATCAACACGTCTTTACAAAGCACCTCCCAGGGGTCCAACACAGTCAGTCACGGGTCCTTCACTTCCCCCGCTCTGTCTTCTCCCTGCCCACACCATAGTCACAGCCTCATCTCCTACTCTCTCCCAGGCAACTGCAGTAATCTCCACGCTGGTCCTCTGGCCTCCAGGCTGGGCCCCTCTAATCCAGCYTCCGCCTGCTGCCAGTGACATCTTATTAACATGCAAAGCAGATGACATCAGGCTTTTGTTCAAATCCTCCAGGGCTCCCCACAGCTTTCAGGCTGGTGTTTAAACTCCTTAGCTTCACACTAAAGRCATTTTATGATCTAGCTGCTGCCTGTTTGTTCAGTTGCATCTCCCAGATCTCCACTCCCAAGCATGCTTTACTTCCATTTCTCTGAACCAGCTGTAGCTCCAGAGGTCTGAGTCTCCCACATCCTTTTGCCCT